ATTTGATTCTGGTGAGAGTGTTTTTGAGAAGATCATTTGAGACTATGGAGTCTCCTTCTTTTGGTATTTGTGGAGTTCCTTGACTTGATTTTTGGAAAGGAACTTTCTCCAATCAGTTGCCACTTTAATTGAGCAGTTGACTCTTTTTTTTTTCTTAAGATTTCTCCAATGAGAAATTCATATCCTAGATGAGGGATTGCTGTAGCGATCTTCTTTAATTTCCACCTTCCTGCTGTTAGAGGTGTCTTTGGCAGAGACCTCTGCTGAGATCTTTGCTGAGCATTCTTCTTTTTCTTTTTGTTGTTTCTTCCAGAGTATTTGAGCAGTTGCTTTTCTTCCTCTTTCTCATCATTCTCCTCAGATAGAATTGGAAGATTGGGAGCTTTGATTCTGGTGATGATCCTTTTTTATCTGATCCTACTGCTGGCAGTTGTCTCAGTCTGAGTCTTCTGCTAGCAGTAGTCTGGCGTCTGAGTCACCTTCTTGAAATGGTCTCATCTTTTCTTCTTCCATCACCTAGGTGGTTCTTCCTTAATCTTTCTTTAAGCACAGTTACATCATTTTTGATGTAACAATTGATCTGGAGTTGGTTTGTGCTTTTGATTGAACTTTAAAAACCTCAACACAGGGAGTGTATTGATTTGTAAGTTCTTCATTTGATTGAATCTCCAACTCCTTTGATATCTTCTTTTTTTTTCTTATACAAGTGTTTCTTTGGGTTCTTCCTTTGAACAATTTATCAGTGGCCTTCTGCTCCTAATCATGTGCCTGAAGCAACTAGAATGTATGTACTATTCTGTTGGGTTTAGTTGCTCCAGCACCTTCCTGTTTTTGTCAATGTTGAGTGGTAGTAGCCCACATTGAAGTGGGCAACTTCCTTTGAACAGATTTGGGCATCCATACCCATTTAGAACCATTTTTCCTTAAGCAGTGTGATCTACAACCTTTTGAGGTGATGTATTTAGATGAGGTGGCTGTGTATGAGTTCATCATCTCTCTCCTGTATGTAGGATAAGAGTGATTTCTTCTGGGTTGATTTAGCTGCTTCTTAGGTGGGTAGTTGCTCTTATTGGTTCTCTGGTTTTCCTTTTTGATAGGAAGTTTCTGTTTGTACAGGGATTTTGATTTTGGTTTGGGAGTAGACATGTTCCTTCTTGTAGGAACTGTTTGGATGTGGGAGTGTTGGTGGCTAAGAGACTTTGTGTCTTCTTTGAAAGTATGTTTTGTGGTAGAAGAGTATTTGGGAGAGTTTTTCAATGAGTAGGAACATGATGTGTAACCTGTGTCTTTTTCAGTGTGTTGAACTTCCTTAGTGAGTGGGGGAGTGAGGGAGCTTAGCTTTTCTTTCAAACTGATGTTTTTATTTTCAAGATAATCTATCTTTTTGATTGCTTCACCCAATTGTGCATGAGCTACTAAGAGATTTTCTTGAAGTCTGTAGTTTTCATTCATTAAGCTAAGGTGCTCTTTTTGGAAGTTTTCAAATTGATGGAGCAATGTCTCCATATCAACACTGGAAGAGTTGGAATCATATGAATCGTTTGAAGAACAGGATAATACCTCATCATTGTCACCTTCATAAGATCTGGCCATATCATAGTTGTGAGAGGAACTATTTTCTGGAATCATTCCAAAGAAGCAAGTTATAGCTTCCTCCTGCCTTTCTGATGAGCAGCTTTCATCATTTGAGCTGCTTTGTTCATCTTCTGATTGATTCTCCGTGAGTTCATCCCATGCATCCTTTGTTTTCCAGTCATTGTTGTTGTTGATCAACAGATTCTTTGTTTGTTGTTCATCCATCATTTAGAAAGTTTTGGGATAAAAGTGGACTTGGATCTTTAGTTCGAAAATAGTCAGAAACTGACTCTAGGAACAAACCTGGCTCTGATACCACTTGATGGTCCCGGATAGAGGTAAAAGTCTAGAGGGGGGGGTGAATAGACTTTTAAATCTTTTTCAACTTTATGAAGTTTTCCCTCTAGATGAGTTGATCTATAATCTTTTGAGAGATCAATAGATGCACAGCGGAAGTCTTTAACCTCTTTATACTTAGTGTGAGATAACTTTCTAGTTTAGATGATGTTTAGACTGGTTACGAGAGGAAGTAGGCTTGGCAGTAGGCTGGTGAGCAGGTAACTGCTTAGGCTACTGCTGCACAGGCAGTTTGCTGACTGGCAGGCAACTGCTGAGGCAACTGCTGAGGACTAGGATGACTCTTGGATGGCTTTTTGTTCTGGCTTGTTATGGGGTTTGGAAAGACACGTTTGGATGGGCAGTGGGCTCAGCAGGAGGGTGAAGACCAGTGTACTGCTGAGTTACCTTCTGAGTTTAAGACAACTTCTAGTGGAAAACACTCTCAAAGAGAGTGAGTTATTAAGCAGTAGGCTAAGCAGTAGAGTCGATGAAGACTACTGCTTAGGATGCTGCTGGCAAACTACAAACCTTTAGTGAGATGTGTTTGGTGTGTGTTCTGTATGTATGAAAGTAAATCAACACACCATGTATCCTGGTTCAGAGGTGGTGTAATCCTCCTACATCCAGTCCCATTCTATTTCAAATGGATTTCCACTAAAGTATTCAGCCCAATACAATTAGTGCCAATCTAGCCTTGACAACCCTGGCCTAGATTGAAGGTTTTTCACGATGAGTATAACACCACTCAAAGTTACTCAGTCCTTAGACTTTTCTCAATTGATCCAGTGGGGATCAAAAGGTACTCTATCTATCTAACCACACTTTAGGATCCGAACAACTGTTCTCCTAAGTGTTTACAACCACTTGTAAAATGTTACAAGGAATTTCTGGCCACCAACTAAAACCTAAGCTCTATAAATGTTACAATGAATAATCTAGTCTAAGAGCTTAGTGAAGCATGAGTCAAAACAGAGTATTCAAGCACTTTCTCTTTTGCTGGATATGCGTAGTGTAATGACTGAACCACTTGCTTTGAACTCAATGACTTATTTTTGAACTCATGCTTCGGCCTATTTTTATAGGCATCTCCAGTAGATTAATTTCCTCCGTTGGTTGAGAGGATTTAAATCTAGACGTCCAAAGTATTGTACTTGCGTCTTCTTGTGTTGGAGCAGGATAAGGAATTGCCTTTGGTGCTGCTTGAAGGCCAACTTGCTTCGTACCAAATGTCAACCCATACCTTAGGCCTTTTCTTTACTGTTCACCTGCCATTAGGTCTTGGCTTTGTCTTGCAACTATACTCATGTAGTAAAGTGCGTGAACCTGCTCAATTTGTGTAGTGAAGTAGTAAAATGTGTGACTTAGAATATTTTGTACCAAATAAATTTTGTACTGGTGGGATCTTTTAAATATCCTATTAAGGTAGTAAAATTACCTTATTGCATTTTGTTCTTTCCAGTACAATTTATTTGGTACAAATTTTACAATAAAATTTGTCACTTATTTTACTAATCACTTTCTTCCTAAAGTGACATGATTGAACTTATGTATCAAATAAAAACTATACTGGTTGGATTTAAATATCCATGTAAGGTAAAAAAAAATTACCTCATTGTATTTTATAATTTCCAGTATGTTTAATTTGGTACATAGTTTTTACATTCGTGTTTTTGTCACTTTTAGAGTTTGTGAAGTTTAGCAGGTATTGTGTACAACTTAACTGGTAGATGATTTTTCCAGTCAAATTTATTTGTCTAATTAAATGGACCAAGGAGCAAGACACATCTAGATAGGTTTTCTTAGTACTAGTCAATTTCAAGATGTTACAGCAGAGGATAACCAAGACTACTACATTTTCCAAACTTATAAGAATGCTACAAATAGAGGGGAGATAACAAAAGCTTTTGGCATCATCAAAATAGTTCATCAAAATCTAGGGTCTAACATAATTATATATAATCGTGAGTATTATAATTCAATCTTTTAAATTGTGATCAAACTACAATGTTCTACACTTCCCCATGTTACCATCAATACGTTAGTATAATGTCACAAACTAATGTTGTTCAGATATAATTTACATCGAAAGTTAGCCCTAGGCTATCCACATTAGTGTATCATCTATAAATTTAATTATAGACTACGTCCATATGAAAATAATGTGTACATTCTCTCAATAATGTATTCTTCCGCATTCCAACACCGTTAATACAATACATTCAACATATTTTTAAACATTGAGTCTAAAATAATGTCCATCTTTAACATTTTAGACTTCTAATATCTTAGGATCGGACTAGAAATAGGCTCAACCCATATGATATGGGCCGGGGTGCTCATTTCTTCATTTAATTTGAGAAATATGTTCTTCAGAGATGTAGTTTGATGATCAATGACAATCAAGAACAATTATTGAAAATGTGTGATGTTTTTTTTCTTGTGCATTAGTTTTGCCATCAATACTGGTATCATTTTTATGGTGACTTCGAATTGAAGAGTAACAAATCTATTTGGATTAGGACTTTCTAACATGACAAAGTGGTTGATCATCCAATACACTTTCAAAGTTGTTTATTTTTTTGAAGACCTTTCAAAGTTGTTTATAAAAAGGGTAATTCTAAATGCAATCACACAATTGCTATTCACAACTGATAGCCGTTATATTTACTTGTGTTTAACATAAGTATTTATAAGTATTTGTTGAAGAAAAGAAGAGAAATCGGGCAAATACCTCCAGAATGAGAGCTAGATCATAAAACATTGCGATGAACGACTTTTTGGACCAAGAGAATGACGTTCTGCCCATAATTTGAGTATAACGTATTCTATAGAACTCTAAATCACTCGATTCGAGTTTCATGTGAATGCTAACTCAATAAGGTACAAATGTTATGAAGACGTCATGACCAAAATATGAAAGGAACAAGACCCAATCAACCAACAAAGTCAGATGTTGCTGGTGGGATTTCAGGATGCATACCTCTCAGTGTTTTATCCATATCTCTTGATTGGCTGAATAAAATCATGTCATTCAAGTTTTGTTGGATAGAAGACTTCATTATCTACAACTTTGGTGAAGGAATCATGTCCAAATTCGTAGCGGAACATCCCCAAAATCCCAGGACAAAACTGGCGCCGAAATTTGCACCAAACCCGCGCCGGTTTGTTAATTTCCGCGTGGCACAAACCAGTAGCTTACCCGGCGCCGGGTAGGCCTTATACCCGGCGCCGGGTAGGCCAAAATTTCCAGTTTTCCCTGCACACAACGAAGAACCGGCGCCGGGTAGGCCTGAAACCGGCGCCGGGTAGGTCCGATTCTGCACAAAACAGTCCAACGTGCAAGAGGATTTTTGATGGGAAAACTTCATCTTCCTCAAGTGTGATCAAATATTGCTTCCATACCTTATTGTTGGGCTCGAATATACTAAAAGATGCCATTCTTTAGCCTATATAAAGCCCTCAATTCATCATTCAATCCCATTCCATTTCATAGATTAATTCCTAGCTTTTATATTTTGTTCTTGCTATTTTTCTTCAAGTTCTTGAGGAGGAAACTTCAACCTCCGAAATCATTGGTGTTTAGGTATTATTTCCTTTGTAATTTCATGTTCCATTACATTTCAATATTGTATTGTGATTAATATGAGCATTAGAGGCTAATTTCTTAGCTAAGGCTAGGGATGAACCTCTATGCACACTAGGTGTTTGATAAAAGTTCTAAACCAATAAATTGTGATTTATCCTTTACATTTTGATTGTTTATGACTATGGTGTACAACATAGAAGTATGTTAAATTTAGTTTATGCTTGCAATTAACGTTGAAGTCTAAACTATGAACATTAAAGGATAAACATATATAGTACCGAGAATAGAAATATATCCGGTCTTATATGATACGGGTGTGATGTCTTGATATTCAACGGGGTTTTCGGTAGATGAATGTAAGCCGTAACGGGACTTACACGTAACGAAAACCACGCTCTCGCTGCCTTAACCGGAGTTGAGAATATATTAGCGACATCGTATTCATGATTATTGGGGAAGAACTATTATTAAACAACTATTAAAGCATTTAGGTGAATCCCGATTGCCTTAGTAATTCTCATTCTTGTTTAAACCAATCTCAAAGAGCAAAGTTCCTGAAAAAAAAATATATCATTTACATTCTTTGCATTCAATATTCGACTTTATAATAACAACCATTTCCTTGTGGATCGACCCGGTATTTACCGGTATTTTATTACTATATCGGCACTTGTATACTTGCAAGTTTAGCCCGATCAAGTTTTTGGCGCCGTTGCCGGGGAAACGGTCTTGTTTAATAAAGTCCAAAGAATCAACCAATCAAAAATCCTGAATTTATTTTTCACAACTTCACTTGATCTTGGAAGGATTTTTGTTTTTTCTTGTGTAGATATTCCCTTGTGTTTGCATGCAATTGAGAGGTCAAGGTTCTAAAATTCTTGAACCACTTGATCTTGAAATAGAAAAAACTTGCAAACACATTCGAAGGGAGCAAAAAGCTACAAAGATGTTGCCAACTTTGAATGAGAGGAAGAGACCCGTGGTGGCCGCTACGCCATCTTGCATCACCTTGAGCGAGGAAGCAAGAGACTATGAGCTAAGGCAAAGCTACTTCAACGCTATGCCTCAGTTTCATGGTTTGCTTGGGGAAAATCCACTCAACTTCATCACGGAGTTCTACGGATTCATTCAAGGAATCCCTAGAAATGGCTTGGCGGAGGATCAACTCAAGCTCAAATGCTTCCCCTATACTCTCAAAGGGGCGGCAAGAGGATGGTTCCTAGAGCAAGCTCCGGCAAGCTACACAACATGGGAAGGTATATACAATGCCTTCATGTCCAAGTACTACACGCCCACCATGACTCAAGAGCTTAGACAACGCATTTTCAATTTCAAACAACAAAATGGTGAGCTCTTTCAAGACGCATGGCGGCGTTTCAAATCATTGCTAAGGGAATGCCCACATCACCGCATTCCCCTAGACCTTCAAATTGACACGTTCTACAATGGTTTGAATGCACCTTGTCAAGCCATTGTGGACAACCGAGCCGAGGGCTACATTGGAAATAAAAATGAAACTGAGGCACTCCGAATCATTGAATCTATTGCCTCAAATCCTCAACTTCAAGGAGGCGATTACAAGGTGGTCGGGATGAATGAAATCTCTATCACAACCGAGATTAACAAAAGGCTTGAACAAATGGAGTCAAAAATTGAGCAAAAATTCCAAACGGCCCTTCAAGCCGTATTGGGAGGAGTCAAGCAAATAGCTAATGTGGAGAGCATTCAAAGTCCGGAAGGCAATTTATCTCAACATCTTGAAGAGGTAAATTTCATGAACTCTTATGGGAACCGGGGAAACAATAATCCTTCTAATCAACAAAGGTGGAATCAAGGGAGCAATTGGAAGCCACAACCCCAATCCGGAGCACCTAATTTTGGGCCGTCCAAGGAAACCACCATGGAGGATATGATGCAATTCATGTCCAAGAGCATGGAAAGCATGAAGGCTCAAAATGAAGAGAACCATAGTAGAGTGGAGGCATCCATTGGGAATCTCCACTCTCAATTCAACAAGTTGGATCTTCGCTTTGAAGATCAAAATATAAAGCTCAACCAACGCATCGACACCATTGAGCAATATACCAAGGCGTCAATCCGAAATCTTGAAGTTCAATTGGGGCAACTCGCCCAAAAAGTGAGTTCTAGAGAGCAAGGTAAACTCCCTACAACTACGGAGGTAAACCCGAGGGAGAGCGTCATGGCCATTACCACAAGAAGCGGGAGGCAAACGGAGGATCCCAAGATGCCGGAGAGAAGAAAGACACCGGAGGAACAAGAAGAGGTTTCACATACACCGTTGCCACCTATTATGCCTCAATATGTTCCTCCCATCCCTTATCCACAAAAGTTGAAGAAGAAAGGAGATGAGAAGAAACACAAGAAAATTCTTGATATTTTCAAGAAATTGAGCATCAACATACCTTTTGCGGAGGCCATTGCGGAGATTCCATCATACGCAAAATTTCTCAAAGGCATCATCTCCAACAAAAAGAAGTTAGAGGAATTCGCAACTGTAGCACTAACGGAGGAATGTAGTGCCATTATTCAAAACAAACTTCCTCCAAAACTAAAAGACCCCGGAAGCTTCACTATTCCATGCTCTATCGGAAAAGTCGGGGAGGTAAAGTCTCTTTGTGACCTTGGCGCTAGCATAAATCTTATGCCCTACTCCCTATTTAAAAAGCTAAGTGTGGGGGAACTCCAACCAACAACGGTTGCTTTGCAATTAGCGGATAGAACAATCCGTTATCCGATAGGTATCATGGAGGATGTCCTTGTGAAAGTTGGAAAATTCTACTTCCCGGTAGATTTTCTTGTTTTGGACATGGAAGAGATGGAAGTTCCCGTCATCCTTGGGAGATCATTTTTGGCCACCTCCGCAGCCGTCATTGATGTACAAGCGGGCACCGTAAGACTAAGAGTGGGAGAAGACGATGAAACATTCCATGTATGGAAAACACAATCCATTCTAACTCAAAACATGGAGGTCAACACAAATCCTTTTACTCCTCCCAAGGCCATAAACATCATGGACATCAAGAAGGCACAAATATTTGGGCCCGAGGACCCTCCCACACACCCCGAGAGCAAAAAGAACAAACCTCCAACTCCATGGCCTCCCCACGATCTCAAAAAGGTAACATTGGTCAAACGTCTTCGGGAGCACAATCACACGTGAGAGGTAAGTTGCGTCCGGCCTATGACGTTAAACTGAGCGCTAATTGGGAGGCAACCCAACAAATTCAATTATAAATAAATATGTTTAGTTAAATACATATTCATATTTATTTATAATTGAAACCCAAAAAAAAACACAAAACAAAAACAAAAAAAAAAGAAAAAGAAAAAGAAGCATCATCTAAACTCATGTATCATGCATCTCCTACTCTCACAAGACGGCCCATTCCGCTATTGAAGATTTCATCCTCCATTACATCCTCCAATGTACATTGAGGACAATGTATCTCAAGTGTGGGGGGTGTATCTCATGGTTAGTTAAACAAATTTTGTGTGCAAAATAATATTTTTTTTAGGAAGGTAAAAGTTGTGATAATTCTCTTTTTAATGGGTATTTGGTTGAGAAAGTTTTTATTATTCACATAAACTATCATTTTTTTTAGATTTATTACACTACTTTTACTCTTGAAAACCATTCCCAAAATAAACCTTGTGACTAGGAAACCTCATCTTCTTCCATGTCCAAAAATGGTTTAAGTACATCTCAAATATTCAAGAACCATTTTTGGAAAACAAGCCACCCCACAACTCATCAAATAAATTGGGATCATCAAAATGACTTTGAGTAAATACTTGTTGAGAATCCATTCAAAAAAAAAAACTCATGGTCTCTTCCAAGAATTTCAACCGATCCATTTCTATACTCAAAAGTCAAATACACAAAAAAAAGCCATCCTACACACCCAAAAAAAGTCCTAGTCACAATCCACTCATATACTCTCAAGGGTATAAGTAATTTTTCTAAATCTAATGATAGTTTTGTGTGTCTAATAGAAATTTGGTTTTGGACCGAGAATGATAAAGGAGTTTACATAACTTTATACCTCCCTTAAAAATAAAATTATTTTTGTGCATATATTTTCGTTGAAACTAACCAAGGCATCCAAGGTGAAGAAATTGCTCGAGGACAAGCAATGCTCAAGTGTGGGGGGATTTGATAGCCGTTATATTTACTTGTGTTTAACATAAGTATTTATAAGTATTTGTTGAAGAAAAGAAGAGAAATCGGGCAAATACCTCCAGAATGAGAGCTAGATCATAAAACATTGCGATGAACGACTTTTTGGACCAAGAGAATGACGTTCTGCCCATAATTTGAGTATAACGTATTCTATAGAACTCTAAATCACTCGATTCGAGTTTCATGTGAATGCTAACTCAATAAGGTACAAATGTTATGAAGACGTCATGACCAAAATATGAAAGGAACAAGACCCAATCAACCAACAAAGTCAGATGTTGCTGGTGGGATTTCAGGATGCATACCTCTCAGTGTTTTATCCATATCTCTTGATTGGCTGAATAAAATCATGTCATTCAAGTTTTGTTGGATAGAAGACTTCATTATCTACAACTTTGGTGAAGGAATCATGTCCAAATTCGTAGCGGAACATCCCCAAAATCCCAGGACAAAACTGGCGCCGAAATTTGCACCAAACCCGCGCCGGTTTGTTAATTTCCGCGTGGCACAAACCAGTAGCTTACCCGGCGCCGGGTAGGCCTTATACCCGGCGCCGGGTAGGCCAAAATTTCCAGTTTTCCCTGCACACAACGAAGAACCGGCGCCGGGTAGGCCTGAAACCGGCGCCGGGTAGGTCCGATTCTGCACAAAACAGTCCAACGTGCAAGAGGATTTTTGATGGGAAAACTTCATCTTCCTCAAGTGTGATCAAATATTGCTTCCATACCTTATTGTTGGGCTCGAATATACTAAAAGATGCCATTCTTTAGCCTATATAAAGCCCTCAATTCATCATTCAATCCCATTCCATTTCATAGATTAATTCCTAGCTTTTATATTTTGTTCTTGCTATTTTTCTTCAAGTTCTTGAGGAGGAAACTTCAACCTCCGAAATCATTGGTGTTTAGGTATTATTTCCTTTGTAATTTCATGTTCCATTACATTTCAATATTGTATTGTGATTAATATGAGCATTAGAGGCTAATTTCTTAGCTAAGGCTAGGGATGAACCTCTATGCACACTAGGTGTTTGATAAAAGTTCTAAACCAATAAATTGTGATTTATCCTTTACATTTTGATTGTTTATGACTATGGTGTACAACATAGAAGTATGTTAAATTTAGTTTATGCTTGCAATTAACGTTGAAGTCTAAACTATGAACATTAAAGGATAAACATATATAGTACCGAGAATAGAAATATATCCGGTCTTATATGATACGGGTGTGATGTCTTGATATTCAACGGGGTTTTCGGTAGATGAATGTAAGCCGTAACGGGACTTACACGTAACGAAAACCACGCTCTCGCTGCCTTAACCGGAGTTGAGAATATATTAGCGACATCGTATTCATGATTATTGGGGAAGAACTATTATTAAACAACTATTAAAGCATTTAGGTGAATCCCGATTGCCTTAGTAATTCTCATTCTTGTTTAAACCAATCTCAAAGAGCAAAGTTCCTGAAAAAAAAATATATCATTTACATTCTTTGCATTCAATATTCGACTTTATAATAACAACCATTTCCTTGTGGATCGACCCGGTATTTACCGGTATTTTATTACTATATCGGCACTTGTATACTTGCAAGTTTAGCCCGATCAAGTTTTTGGCGCCGTTGCCGGGGAAACGGTCTTGTTTAATAAAGTCCAAAGAATCAACCAATCAAAAATCCTGAATTTATTTTTCACAACTTCACTTGATCTTGGAAGGATTTTTGTTTTTTCTTGTGTAGATATTCCCTTGTGTTTGCATGCAATTGAGAGGTCAAGGTTCTAAAATTCTTGAACCACTTGATCTTGAAATAGAAAAAACTTGCAAACACATTCGAAGGGAGCAAAAAGCTACAAAGATGTTGCCAACTTTGAATGAGAGGAAGAGACCCGTGGTGGCCGCTACGCCATCTTGCATCACCTTGAGCGAGGAAGCAAGAGACTATGAGCTAAGGCAAAGCTACTTCAACGCTATGCCTCAGTTTCATGGTTTGCTTGGGGAAAATCCACTCAACTTCATCACGGAGTTCTACGGATTCATTCAAGGAATCCCTAGAAATGGCTTGGCGGAGGATCAACTCAAGCTCAAATGCTTCCCCTATACTCTCAAAGGGGCGGCAAGAGGATGGTTCCTAGAGCAAGCTCCGGCAAGCTACACAACATGGGAAGGTATATACAATGCCTTCATGTCCAAGTACTACACGCCCACCATGACTCAAGAGCTTAGACAACGCATTTTCAATTTCAAACAACAAAATGGTGAGCTCTTTCAAGACGCATGGCGGCGTTTCAAATCATTGCTAAGGGAATGCCCACATCACCGCATTCCCCTAGACCTTCAAATTGACACGTTCTACAATGGTTTGAATGCACCTTGTCAAGCCATTGTGGACAACCGAGCCGAGGGCTACATTGGAAATAAAAATGAAACTGAGGCACTCCGAATCATTGAATCTATTGCCTCAAATCCTCAACTTCAAGGAGGCGATTACAAGGTGGTCGGGATGAATGAAATCTCTATCACAACCGAGATTAACAAAAGGCTTGAACAAATGGAGTCAAAAATTGAGCAAAAATTCCAAACGGCCCTTCAAGCCGTATTGGGAGGAGTCAAGCAAATAGCTAATGTGGAGAGCATTCAAAGTCCGGAAGGCAATTTATCTCAACATCTTGAAGAGGTAAATTTCATGAACTCTTATGGGAACCGGGGAAACAATAATCCTTCTAATCAACAAAGGTGGAATCAAGGGAGCAATTGGAAGCCACAACCCCAATCCGGAGCACCTAATTTTGGGCCGTCCAAGGAAACCACCATGGAGGATATGATGCAATTCATGTCCAAGAGCATGGAAAGCATGAAGGCTCAAAATGAAGAGAACCATAGTAGAGTGGAGGCATCCATTGGGAATCTCCACTCTCAATTCAACAAGTTGGATCTTCGCTTTGAAGATCAAAATATAAAGCTCAACCAACGCATCGACACCATTGAGCAATATACCAAGGCGTCAATCCGAAATCTTGAAGTTCAATTGGGGCAACTCGCCCAAAAAGTGAGTTCTAGAGAGCAAGGTAAACTCCCTACAACTACGGAGGTAAACCCGAGGGAGAGCGTCATGGCCATTACCACAAGAAGCGGGAGGCAAACGGAGGATCCCAAGATGCCGGAGAGAAGAAAGACACCGGAGGAACAAGAAGAGGTTTCACATACACCGTTGCCACCTATTATGCCTCAATATGTTCCTCCCATCCCTTATCCACAAAAGTTGAAGAAGAAAGGAGATGAGAAGAAACACAAGAAAATTCTTGATATTTTCAAGAAATTGAGCATCAACATACCTTTTGCGGAGGCCATTGCGGAGATTCCATCATACGCAAAATTTCTCAAAGGCATCATCTCCAACAAAAAGAAGTTAGAGGAATTCGCAACTGTAGCACTAACGGAGGAATGTAGTGCCATTATTCAAAACAAACTTCCTCCAAAACTAAAAGACCCCGGAAGCTTCACTATTCCATGCTCTATCGGAAAAGTCGGGGAGGTAAAGTCTCTTTGTGACCTTGGCGCTAGCATAAATCTTATGCCCTACTCCCTATTTAAAAAGCTAAGTGTGGGGGAACTCCAACCAACAACGGTTGCTTTGCAATTAGCGGATAGAACAATCCGTTATCCGATAGGTATCATGGAGGATGTCCTTGTGAAAGTTGGAAAATTCTACTTCCCGGTAGATTTTCTTGTTTTGGACATGGAAGAGATGGAAGTTCCCGTCATCCTTGGGAGATCATTTTTGGCCACCTCCGCAGCCGTCATTGATGTACAAGCGGGCACCGTAAGACTAAGAGTGGGAGAAGACGATGAAACATTCCATGTATGGAAAACACAATCCATTCTAACTCAAAACATGGAGGTCAACACAAATCCTTTTACTCCTCCCAAGGCCATAAACATCATGGACATCAAGAAGGCACAAATATTTGGGCCCGAGGACCCTCCCACACACCCCGAGAGCAAAAAGAACAAACCTCCAACTCCATGGCCTCCCCACGATCTCAAAAAGGTAACATTGGTCAAACGTCTTCGGGAGCACAATCACACGTGAGAGGTAAGTTGCGTCCGGCCTATGACGTTAAACTGAGCGCTAATTGGGAGGCAACCCAACAAATTCAATTATAAATAAATATGTTTAGTTAAATACATATTCATATTTATTTATAATTGAAACCCAAAAAAAAACACAAAACAAAAACAAAAAAAAAAGAAAAAGAAAAAGAAGCATCATCTAAACTCATGTATCATGCATCTCCTACTCTCACAAGACGGCCCATTCCGCTATTGAAGATTTCATCCTCCATTACATCCTCCAATGTACATTGAGGACAATGTATCTCAAGTGTGGGGGGTGTATCTCATGGTTAGTTAAACAAATTTTGTGTGCAAAATAATATTTTTTTTAGGAAGGTAAAAGTTGTGATAATTCTCTTTTTAATGGGTATTTGGTTGAGAAAGTTTTTATTATTCACATAAACTATCATTTTTTTTAGATTTATTACACTACTTTTACTCTTGAAAACCATTCCCAAAATAAACCTTGTGACTAGGAAACCTCATCTTCTTCCATGTCCAAAAATGGTTTAAGTACATCTCAAATATTCAAGAACCATTTTTGGAAAACAAGCCACCCCACAACTCATCAAATAAATTGGGATCATCAAAATGACTTTGAGTAAATACTTGTTGAGAATCCATTCAAAAAAAAAAACTCATGGTCTCTTCCAAGAATTTCAACCGATCCATTTCTATACTCAAAAGTCAAATACACAAAAAAAAGCCATCCTACACACCCAAAAAAAGTCCTAGTCACAATCCACTCATATACTCTCAAGGGTATAAGTAATTTTTCTAAATCTAATGATAGTTTTGTGTGTCTAATAGAAATTTGGTTTTGGACCGAGAATGATAAAGGAGTTTACATAACTTTATACCTCCCTTAAAAATAAAATTATTTTTGTGCATATATTTTCGTTGAAACTAACCAAGGCATCCAAGGTGAAGAAATTGCTCGAGGACAAGCAATGCTCAAGTGTGGGGGGATTTGATAGCCGTTATATTTACTTGTGTTTAACATAAGTATTTATAAGTATTTGTTGAAGAAAAGAAGAGAAATCGGGCAAATACCTCCAGAATGAGAGCTAGATCATAAAACATTGCGATGAACGACTTTTTGGACCAAGAGAATGACGTTCTGCCCATAATTTGAGTATAACGTATTCTATAGAACTCTAAATCACTCGATTCGAGTTTCATGTGAATGCTAACTCAATAAGGTACAAATGTTATGAAGACGTCATGACCAAAATATGAAAGGAACAAGACCCAATCAACCAACAAAGTCAGATGTTGCTGGTGGGATTTCAGGATGCATACCTCTCAGTGTTTTATCCATATCTCTTGATTGGCTGAATAAAATCATGTCATTCAAGTTTTGTTGGATAGAAGACTTCATTATCTACAACTTTGGTGAAGGAATCATGTCCAAATTCGTAGCGGAACATCCCCAAAATCCCAGGACAAAACTGGCGCCGAAATTTGCACCAAACCCGCGCCGGTTTGTTAATTTCCGCGTGGCACAAACCAGTAGCTTACCCGGCGCCGGGTAGGCCTTATACCCGGCGCCGGGTAGGCCAAAATTTCCAGTTTTCCCTGCACACAACGAAGAACCGGCGCCGGGTAGGCCTGAAACCGGCGCCGGGTAGGTCCGATTCTGCACAAAACAGTCCAACGTGCAAGAGGATTTTTGATGGGAAAACTTCATCTTCCTCAAGTGTGATCAAATATTGCTTCCATACCTTATTGTTGGGCTCGAATATACTAAAAGATGCCATTCTTTAGCCTATATAAAGCCCTCAATTCATCATTCAATCCCATTCCATTTCATAGATTAATTCCTAGCTTTTATATTTTGTTCTTGCTATTTTTCTTCAAGTTCTTGAGGAGGAAACTTCAACCTCCGAAATCATTGGTGTTTAGGTATTATTTCCTTTGTAATTTCATGTTCCATTACATTTCAATATTGTATTGTGATTAATATGAGCATTAGAGGCTAATTTCTTAGCTAAGGCTAGGGATGAACCTCTATGCACACTAGGTGTTTGATAAAAGTTCTAAACCAATAAATTGTGATTTATCCTTTACATTTTGATTGTTTATGACTATGGTGTACAACATAGAAGTATGTTAAATTTAGTTTATGCTTGCAATTAACGTTGAAGTCTAAACTATGAACATTAAAGGATAAACATATATAGTACCGAGAATAGAAATATATCCGGTCTTATATGATACGGGTGTGATGTCTTGATATTCAACGGGGTTTTCGGTAGATGAATGTAAGCCGTAACGGGACTTACACGTAACGAAAACCACGCTCTCGCTGCCTTAACCGGAGTTGAGAATATATTAGCGACATCGTATTCATGATTATTGGGGAAGAACTATTATTAAACAACTATTAAAGCATTTAGGTGAATCCCGATTGCCTTAGTAATTCTCATTCTTGTTTAAACCAATCTCAAAGAGCAAAGTTCCTGAAAAAAAAATATATCATTTACATTCTTTGCATTCAATATTCGACTTTATAATAACAACCATTTCCTTGTGGATCGACCCGGTATTTACCGGTATTTTATTACTATATCGGCACTTGTATACTTGCAAGTTTAGCCCGATCAACAACCCTTAATTAATAAAAATTAATTGATAAAATGTCTATTATATCAATTAATATTAATTGATAAAATTTAAATAAAATGTCTATTATATCCCCTGTTAGGCATGTAATCCCACCGCAGTCAAAAGTCGAGTCCCGAATTCCTCCTTCAATGTCACTCCAAATTTTGGCAACCTCTTCCTTCAATCCATGTCTAGTAGGCTCCAAATCGGCCTGCAAACCCCAAATTATCCTTCACTCTCCGGGAAATCCCTCTAAAAACATCAACAACCTTTTTTCCGACGACAAAGTTGACTCAGATTAAAAAGAAGATGAGGGTGGAATACAATCCTCCTAAAAATCCCAACTTGCCAAGGAAGAACCAAGGCTCGAAAAAGATATAATCCACCCAATTCAAACGGCGAGACAAACTTTCTCAAGCCCAATTCTGGTCAGGCCGTGGCAATCAGTGAGCACCACATATGTGTCGGGTTCCATGAGGAATCAGAGTTAGATTAATGGTTCAGGAAATAACACAATCATATTATGTCGCCTGAAGAAGAAGCAGAGTGAAGAAGCTCATGTACAAACTACAAAAGGAAACAGAGAAGGTCATAAATTTGGGGTTAGGGCATTTAATAGAGACGATCAAATCAAACACTGCCCGGTCACGTTCGTCGCAGCAATTTCACCGTGACAACCACTTACGCCGCCAGCCCCTTCACGATGTTCACCACTAGCCTCCACCATATCTTCCGGTCATGAGATATATTCAACAAGTAATTGCTATAATAGTATACTAGCAGTAGAATAGAAAACAAACAATAAGGTTGTACTTAATAAATATCATTAAGGGTAAATTTGTAAAGTTACTCAATTTGTTTCAAACGAATTAATTAATAGGGCTGTACTTAGCAAAATTAGGGCTGCATTTAGAAATTCCCTTATAAAATATGTACTTAACCATAGTGTTTTCAATGTGTCCTTGATCAAAGTGTATGAACTAATAGTGGTGATAGTTACACACGGAGTATTATTTATAAGAATTTCATAATTATGAATAACATCATCAGAAAAAGAATCTCACGTCATTATGTACTAATAAAGTAGAAAAACATGGAATGAGAAGTATAATCTTTACTCTTTAATATGGAATTATGGACACATGCAATAGGTGGCGGATCCATAATGTAGGGGGCTTATAATAGAAAGAATGAAAGAAAAATAAGACTATCGTTTTTTAGGTGGGTAAAATAGGAACAATTTTGAAATAGAAAAAATAAGTGATTAAGAACGGTGATGGAGGTGATCGGTGAAATGGGAACAATCTACTGATGCCAATGGATATCCGCCACCGCCGCTCTCCTTCCCCTCTTTGTCGCCGGATTTCCTTAGCCACTGACTTCCGATCAGTGATGGAGGTGCAACTCGATTCAGCTACCAGATCATAAGCGGCTAGGGTTTACGGGGGCAAGGGTGGGGGGTTACGACAGGTCTGAAGCAGGGGAGGGGTTGGGATGGGCTAGGTCCATTGTGGTTCCGCTGGTGGTTGGATATGAATTTTGTGGCGGAAAGGATGGTGGGATGCAACGATTGTAGGGTGTGGGGTGGGGTGAGGGTGTGGGGCAGCTATTGTGTAAGGGATTGGGGAGTTAGGGAGAGGGATTGGCAGTGGAGGATGGGTTCACAACAGTGGTCGAGGGTAGTAGGGGACGACAGTGGCAGTGGGGTTAGTGGCTGGGTAGGCGGGAGAGGGGGATGTGGGTATGTTGGAAAAGGGGTTGGGGTTGGTGTAGGAGAGGGTCTAGGATTGGCGGTTAACGGTGGCAGTCAGTGGTGGCAGAGCGGTGGTGGATGGTGGTGGTTTTCGACAGAGGCAGTGAGGTTGGGGGTGGCAGTGTTGACGGTCAATACAGAGTCGGATTGGTCGTGGTTACTGGTCGGATAATTGGTCACTAGTCAGGTAATTGGTCAATGGTTGGATTGGTCATGGTCAGTGGTCGAGGTAATTGGTCACGGGTGGATTGAGTCGGGGTAATTGGTCACGGGTAGACTGGTCCGGTTATTTGTTGGATTGATTATGGTCATTGGTCGGTTTGGTCTTTGTCACTGGACGGATTGGTTATGGGCAATGGTTAGTTTGGTCACTGGCCGAGTCAGTCATGATCATTTGTCTGAATGGTCACAAGCGGGATTAGTCATTGATGCATCATCATTGGGAGAAGTTTAGTCTCATTTTTGGAACTTTTTGAAAGTACCCTTATTTTTGTCCATGAGATTGATTTTAGTATTATTTTTGAAAAAAAAAACGTTATAATATGAATGTGAGCATATCATGATTATCTCTCCTCCAAGCTAGCTGAAGCATTGTCCCTAGTGCTCATCACCGAGATGTGTGCCATCAAAGCCTCCTCCAAAATCGTCGCTAGCGCCACCATAACCACAATCACCACCATGATCATCGCCCCCGAATCTAGAGCTAGCCTACAAAATTTCCCGAATAAGAGGGGGGTCGGGTCATACAAATTAAGTGGGGTGGTGGGGGTGGTAAAGGAAGAGAAGAAACCTTGTTGGTGAAAATATGTATACATAGGGCCATAACTCTACTGATAGCCGTTATATTTACTTGTGTTTATAAGTGTTTGTTGAAGAAAAGAAGAGAAGTTGGGCAAATACCTCCAGATTGAGAGCTAGAGCATAAAACATTGCGATGAACGATTTTTCGGATCAAGAGGATGATGCTTCTCCCATAATTTGAGTATACCTAATTACGAGGATGAGCACATGAAGCTTACCTACTATCTTCTTAGGCTACACGTACAAGTGCAACAGGCCGCCCACCGGTTAGCTCATCCAATGAGGACTGCCCTCCTACACGGATAAGAACATCCTTACCGTCATTTTTCAAGCTGGAGCCACCACATTTGAAGTTCTCACCAAAGACTGCCAGTGGATCTCTGTTGAACCTATTGTCAACTCCTTGATTGTTATGGTTGCTGACTCCTTTCAGGTAAACCATCACCACCACCACCACCACCACCACCATCATCATCATCATCATCATCATCATCATCATCTAGTCAGTACATATTTAACTTGATCATTCACTATTCAAACTCGAACTATTATACTTCCTCCTTGCTAGCTTATTTAATTAATCATGCTGGCTTGGTTCATATGTAAATACGTACCGAGTACTACATAATAAGATACATAGTACTTTATACTACATATATGGAAATGATACGACGGTAAATGAAAACAATCCAAAAAAATTAAAAACATCTTAATCTTATTTAGACCAATTTTTAGTGCCTTCCATCTCTTTTTACTTAATTAGCTATCTTTGACTTTTCTAGTCAAAAAAGTCAATTTTGATGAATCTTTATAAATAATAAAATACTACACCCCTTTTAATTAGTTAGTCGTATATTTGACGTTTTCAATCAGCGGTCATAAAGACATAAACTTTGACAAATCATTTTATAAAGCGTGAATTACCTATATAGGATTAAAAAAGGACCAAAAATCACAAATAAGAGTAATAATTTAAAATTGCCAAAATATGATTTTTTTGTGATTGGACAAAAATACCCATGTCAGTCTGCCACCACCTGCCCTCTGCCATTGCCACTCCTGTACATGCCACCATCGGACTCTGGCCGCCGCCCAAAATTCGGCCGCCATTAGATCACCAGCCGATATGATGCTGCTGCCGGAGCTGCGGCTAGGCAAAAAAATCTAGATTCCCCCCAGTCCGTCTGTCGTCGTCGGAGCTTCGACACCGCCACCACCAACAGACTATCCCGATTGCCCAAGGGAAATAGGGGGCAATTAATTAATTAATTAATTATATTAGGGGTATTAATAAGTGTAGCTATGTTTAGTGCTATTTGTAAATGATTTTAGTTTTAAGTCATATTCATAAAATATGTTTTCGTTTAGTCGGTAATTACTATTTTATAAATGTTTTATCAAATAAACATTTTATCATTTCCATATACGTTGTATAAAGTATCTTATGTAGTATTAAGCTGTCCCACACTGATTACGTAAAGAAATATAAACCAACATATAAAGCCTTGGGCTACTCCTCTTAACCGGTTGACCTTTTAGGATGAAATCTCAAGTCTTAATATGGTATCAGAGCAAATTAAGCTCCAACGAGTAATTAGATACTGGTAAGCCTCAACAAGGAGCACACGGACTACAAGATTGGTTTGCTCCAATTAGCCACCATCTTGCGGGGGCGTATTAAGCTGCCCCACACCGTTTACGTATAAAATTACAAACCAACATATAAAGCCTTGGGCTACTCCTAACAGGTACATATTTACATATGAGCTAAGTTAGACATGATTAATTAAATAAGCAAGGAGGAAGTATAATAGTTAGAGTTTGAATGGTGAATGATCGTGTTAAGTATGTACCGATTAGATGATGATGGTTTACCTCGAAGGAGTCGGTCGGTGACCATAACAATCAAGGAGTTGATAATAGGTTCAACAGAGATCCACCGGCCGTCTTTGGTGAGAACTTCAAATGCAGTGGCTCCAGCTTGAAATATGACAGTAGGGATGTTCTTATCCGTGTGAGAGGGTAGTCCTCGGGTGTGCTCACCGGTGGGCGACCTGTTGTAATTGTGTAGCCTCATAAGACAGTAGATGGACCCCATGTGCTCATCCTCGTACTTATCGGCTAGTCCATATCCTTCCATCACCATCCTTCTTACCATCTCATCAACTTCAGCAAGTTCCTCAACCAATAATTGTAGACTTGTTCTGCCAAATCATTAATTATATACACTAATTAATTCTTTAATCAATTAATTAATTAATCACAAATACGTACAAGCCTACATGTATACAAGCTATATATAGGAGTGAGATACTAATTCCGTATATATTTCAACATGGATTTCATGCGTGCGTGTTTGAATTGATTTTATACAATTTCGTT